CTTACTGACTACTTTATCAAGCAAATCTCCGATTCATAGCAATAGTAGAATCATATAAATACCAAAAAACAGAAAACATGCCAAATTACCAGGTGTTACTGAAGCTTCTAACAAAATCCAGAAGAAAAAACTCGAACAACGATTACCCAATCCACCTAAAACTCCCAAACACTTTTCCTTAGAGAAGGGACTTAGAAGAATTCAAAATATCGATACTACTAAAATTCCTACTATGCAAGATCTCGCAGATGTGATCATGATGTTGAGCATGAGACCTGCTGAAGTGACTACTCTCCGAATTATCCATTATGAACCTAATGAATCAAACCCTCCAATATGGTATAAGTCTGGCTATTCTTGGTATTGTACTGGGTATATTAAAAATAAACTGAGAAAAAAACCGAAGAATGAAGAAAATGATACTCCCAAACCTAAGCCTGAACCTCGGCAATTTCTCTCTATGGAAAAGAACCCAGAACATGCGAGAGAATTGCTTACCTGGATTCAAAATGCGATAACAATTGGAAAGTTGCGTGATCCTGTTTATAGTGTTAATGGGAAACGTAGTATTAAATCATTTAATAATTTTCTAAGACCTTATGGTATTACGGCCAAAAGATTAAGAAAAATTGGAGGTAAACACGCTTCTAGAGTTCATGGTGGGCAAAATCCAACTCCACAACATCTCGATTTTCTTACCAGAATTGCATTGAGACATAAGATAGACCGTTTCGATGCAGGAAAAAATTATGCTGAGGGTGATACTTCTGAATCCGAGTCTGATGATTCTTTAGAGTTAAAACTTTCTGATCTCAAGGCTCAAGCTTCGACATCTCAGCCTAAGAATAATAACTATAATCCTTTCGGGTCTCAGATTGCAGAAATAGATTCAATGTTAGCTACACACACCAATTACCCATGTACTCACACATAACTAAACCATTGATACGTTAAGTGCTTTTGGCCATGCCAGCTCTGCTGATAATTTTATCTTATCTATCTTTTTTCCGAACTGGAAGATTATGATGATGCCGAGCATCAAGTCTTTGACTCTCCAATAAACGATGTGACAATTCTATTAATTTCATTCTGAGATTTTTTATTTATCAAATGTAGGGAAAGCGAGTCGACCTATCCATCTGCCATATATATTTTTTTCGGTTAGCTCCATTGATTATCTATTAAATAAAAAGTCTTAGTTAATAAATTGCTCACGTTTGAGATATCGAATATATAATATGAGTTATAACAAAGTACGAGATAGGTTAAGTGAATATGGTGAAAATTATATTGTTAACTATATTAAAACGTCAGAAGCATGGTTACGGTTTGCAAAATATTATCCACCAAAATATATACGTAAGCGTTTATTAAAATTAGGATATGAAATAAATAATAGAGATTACTGGGAAAATTTTGTATTTCGTATCAAAAATAATTTAACCAGCTATAAGCAAATAGGTAATGACCCTGAATATAGGAATTTTAAAGTTCAACTAGCATTATATAAAAAAAACCGTGCATCATTAATTATCCAGAATACATATCGTTTATGGAAAAAACAAATATATTCGGCTAAAATAATCCAACATGCAGTAATTAAATGGCTTTATAGACCTGGTGGATCATTTATGAAGCAAGCCAAAGATCGATATCATCGACGGGTAGAGGTACTTTCAAAATCTGATAAATTTATTAATATGCCCGGAAATTTGAATCGAGAAAATTTCAATTTCGACCAATCACATCACGGGTAGGATCGACATAGAAGTTCGTATAACTTATTTTTTCGTTTACTTTTAGTCTGGGAAATATTTCTATAGCACATATGATTTCACGATAAAGACAAACGGAAACGAAGCTCAAAAAAGCAATAAGGGTAAAGAGCCCGTTGATTCCTATCAGCTCTGTTATCAGAAAATGTCAGTTATGGAACTTTGTAATCTCCGTAATTCCGGATCGTCGTTGCGATTAACCAATTTTTCGTTTTACAGGAGCGATCTCGAACCAAAAGGGATTTCATTCATGCATCTATGACTCATTACTCCGCATATTACATACCTTGGCGTTTAGTTACATATGACAATACTTTCTATGGAGGCTGAATTGTGGCAGGTTTTCTGTTTTTTGGTATTTATATGATTCTACTATTGCTATGAATCGGAGATTTGCTTGATAAAGTAGTCAGTAAG